AATTTAAATTGAATTTTTTTGTATTTAATCTAAAATCGATCAATTAATAATAATTTATCTAATTTGACATCTCTATTTTGTTGAACAGAAATCATTATATTAGCATCATAATCATCGATTCCCAAAATATTATTTACAAACTTTGAGTTTGGCATATAAATCATATTTTGATTATTTTTTTACTTATGTGAATTTATAAAAAATTACTTTATAAAAAAAATTTACATATAGCAGTATTTTACCATTCAATTTTTATCAATTTAATTTTGTGATTTTTCGATTTTTCATATTATTTTTATAAAAAAATGATTTGTCGAACGAATAAATATTACCTGGATAGTGAATCGAATGAGAAAAGCTAAAAAATGAAAAGCAGTTAGTGATGATAACTTTTAAAAATTCTTTACTGTATAATTATAAATTATTGCTTCATAATTTCTTTTTTTACATATATAAACCGCTCATAGTTTCCTCGAAATTTTCGGCCAAAAGAGAGATCAACATTCAACAACTATTATCAACTTCATTTTCGGATACGCCTCTATATCTGGTTGCCGGGTAGCAAAGGGAACGAGACAAAATATCAAAGACTGCTTTGTTACGATTACAACACACGCGCGACACTTTCTTGCAACGACGCATTCATATAACATTCAGATAACATGATTATATTCTACGATGATATTCTACATTCAGAGAAAAATATAGTTTTGACAACTACTAAATTAACAACTTTAATAATTAAGTACTTGCAACTAGTTTTACAAAGTAATAAGAACTAAGTAGTACTGAATACTATATTTTTATGGTATTCGATATTACTTCAGTTTTTATTATTCTTTAAAACTAGTTGCGAGTATTTAAATTTTAAAGTTATACTTTATAGTTGCCACAACTATTTTTTTTCTCAGTGTCACATTTCCTTTCTAAGTAAAAAAATTTTGTTTCTTTCTTATTTTTTTAAAGTTATAAAATTTTATTTAATTATATATTTTATTATTTCCTTCATCGCCGATATAGAAATTTTGTTTTTATTATTTCCACGAATTTATATGAATTTTTGAAGTTAAATTACTACTTTGTTGCAAATGAATTCTGTGAAGTGAAGACGTGCGTGAATCCAGCTTTAAAATCTTGTCCGACCGTCCCGTCCGATTCGTGAGAATTTTTCTCTCCGTGCTACAAAGTGCCGGGTAAACGCTACCCACAAGAATAGTAGTGTGTGTATGGTCGTTATGGAACACAGACAAATGGTTTTCTTCATGAGGATCGGTGAACCCTTCACATGCGGGAGATACAAAGTTGCTCAGGCCATCTACTACATTGTGGCAGTTCGGGCCACTAGAGGCCCTGCCGTTCAGTCCGTTCCTACATTTTCTCATTAAATTGCTATGGACGCAACTATGATGCTGATATCGGTCTATAGCCATTAATAAAAGCGACTTTTACGAAATAATGAATATTCGACATAATATTTCATGACAATCTGACAAGATTGGTTATTTTCTGAATAGTCTTGAATACTAGTTTTCTATTGAACAGAAGTACTCTTTTTAATAATGATCTTTATACAAAGTTATATTAAATTCGTAATAAAAAGTAAAAAATGGAAAACGGGAGATATGAGAAAGGCAATACTTTAAAACTAAAAATAAATTTATCGTATAATATAATTATTATTATAAATATTCTCTAAATTAAATTGAAAATTATATTTTAAACATAGTATATGCTTCCTTATGAAAAATAAATATATTATACCAGTTGTGATTAAGAGATAAATAGATCGTGATAGAGAAATATTTTTAGTATATCACATTGTTGCATCAACCGGATGTTCGCTATGTAAAGACCTTTCGGAAATCATATGTTATCGTCTTATAGGAATGATATTGATATCTCAAAGCAAGAGGAACCAGTAATTCAGTTTTAAAAAAGTTCATTTCCTCTGCTCACATTTTTTTAGTTTTGTTTTTAAGCGAAAGATCGTTTATTGTTAAATAACATTAATTATACTTTTTATATTATTAACAATATTTTTAACAATTACATCTTTTGTAGCCGTAATAAATCAGTCTAAAATAAAATATACAATTAATAAAATATAAATATTAATATATAAAAAAAAAGAAATTGAGATTTCGAAAAATTTCTGCTTTATGTACCTGTTTCATAGAATTATGAAAAATTAGAAAAGTGCATTATTGAAGGCAGGATGTTACATCAATTTCCTGTCATTGTCTATACATTTGGTCGACCATTCATCTGAAATTTAAAATATTGATAGGGTTACATTAATATTAAAAAGATGCCATTAGCTTTTCTGAAGATAGTTGTGTTAGTAGTAGTTCTCGGAAAAGCCAGATGATTTAGGGCTTGTGTCAGACCAGTTTCTACATTGTGTGCTTAGGATCTCAACCGAATCCCAACATTCCCAGCAACCCAACTGCATTTAGATATGACGAAGGAAAAGCGATGGAAAAAATTTTTATATTTTTAATAATTTTTAATAATAATTTCGTTTTTATTTGAAATGGATGGAGAAATTTTTTTATTTTAATTAAAATTGTTTTATTAAAACACATATATATATATACACGCACGCGCCGCACACACACACACACACACACACACACACACACACACACACACACACACACACACAATAACTAATATCTTTACGTTTTAACAATCTTTTTTTTTTAAGTTAATTTTTTTAAGATCTGGAGACATGGTAGTGTTGTCTCGGCGCTAAGACAAGCGAAGCATCATGGCGCGAGACATTGCTTAATGCATACATCCGTATGCTATTAAATTACAAAATATCACGTCCAAGATAATTAAATTCAAACATCAATACTAATTAAGTACGTTACTCTAATAAATAAAATAATTTATTTTTTTTTTAATAAAGATGTACCATTATACAAATTGTTATGATATAATTATACAACAAACAGAAAGTTCTGTTTCTTTTATAATTATTTTTGTCGTTAAAAATTTGCTTCCATTACATTTGTACACACCTCTCAATTATCATACCCTATGTTACCCTAATCTTATATTGCATATTTCTCCAGCATATTTCTCTTCTTGCGGTCGAGAGTAAGAGCAAAGAATAACTTCCCATAAGAATAACTTCTTTTATGTATATCTTATATTCGATTAATATTTTATATATTAATCACATATATTGAACACAACATTTGAAGAAAATGTTTCGTTTTTTTAATAAGTTATTAAAAAAAAAATACGTTTATATTATTTAAGAGACAAATCGACATTCATTTCAAGTATGCCTTATACGTATTTTGTCATGCGTCCATTTATTAACGATGCATAGAAAAAATCATCGCAAGGTTGCAGGATAAGAAGAATGTATAGAAAATGATGATACCATTTCTCTTTTTGGCAATGTTCTTATTTCATTTCAGAATGAAAATTTATAAATTACAATTTATTATTTATAAATTACAATTTATTATTTACATTTATTATTGAATTCTGAGTGAACTTGATATTAAATCATACATAAATCGAATGACAAATTTATATTAATGCTTCTCTCTCTCTCTCTCTCTCTCTCTCTCTCTCTCTCTCTCTCTCT